ATTCTTAAATCACTGGGACACACTAACATTCTTAAATCACTGGGACACACACTAACATTCTTAAATCACTGGGACACACTAACATTCTTAAATCACTGGGACACACTAACATTCTTAAATCACTGGGACACACTAAGATTTTTAAATCACTGGGACACATTAACATTCTTAAATCACTGGGACACACTAACATTCTTAAACCACTGGGACACACTAACATTCCTAAATCACTGGGACACACTAATATTCCTAAATCACTGGGACACACTAACATTCCTAAATCACTGGGACACACTAACATTCCTAAATCACTGAGACACTCTAAGATTCCTAAATCACTGGGACACACTAAGATTCTTAAATCACTGGGACACACTAAGATTCTTGAATCACTGGGACACACTAAGATTCTTAAATCACTGGGACACACTAACATTCCTAAATCACTGAGACACACTAAGATTCCTAAATCACTGGGACACACTAAGATTCTTAAACCACTGGGACACACTAACATTCTTAAACCACTGGGACACACTAAGATTCTTAAATCACTGTGACACACTAAGATTTTTAAATCACTGGGACACACGAAGATTTTTAAATCACTGGGACACACTAAGATTTTGAAATCACTGGGACACACTAAGATTTTTAAATCACTGGGGCACATTAACATTCTTAAATCACTGGGACACATTAACATTCTTAAATCACTGGGACACACTAACATTCTTAAACCACTGGGACACACTAAGATTCTTAAATCACTGGGACACACTAACATTCTTAAACCACTGGGACACACTAACATTCTTAAATCACTGGGACACACTAACATTCTTAAACCACTGGGACACACTAAGATTCTTAAATCACTGTTACACACTAAGATTCTTAAATCACTGGGACACACTAACATTCCTAAATCACCGGGACACACTAAGATTATTACCAATGACCTTGTGACTTTGAACTCTAAAGTTTTTAACCATGAAGTAATATTAAAAGTTTTTGACTATGAGGTTAAATTTCATGTTTTTGACTGAGATGCAAGGTTTTGAGTTACTGACTAATAAGGTTAAGTTTTAATATTTTGATCATGAAGTAATGTTTACAGTTTTGAACATCAACTTAAATATGAAATATTTCTGATAGACATACCCGACTGTTCGTCCCCATGGTGTGGACTATAGCATGGTGCAGGAATGTCGTCGTCCGATAGGTCGCTAGTCACGCTGTTGGAACCACCTTCACTGAACAGTGACAGATCGCTGGTGTGGACAGAGCTCACTGATAACTCGGACATTTCAGACATCTGGTCGACCTCGCGATTCCACTCAAATGTGTACGGGCGCTTTGTCTCACCATCAGTAATGTTCTGGCTGGTGCTGGTGGCCTCATCACCTGTCTTGTATGTCTGAGAAAATAATGTCCTCGTACAAAATTTCGAGCAATTTAAAATGTAAACAAAGGGAATTTACCATTTTAACTGTCATTCTGATATTAACTGCTGTCTGTGTCTTACATATTATATCCATGTCAGCCAAGGAATTTCAAACTGATTCGATCATAATGAACATTTCTATATTTCCTGCATGTATGTTAGTTAATATTTATAAGGAAGTTCATGCCAGCATGAACATATACAACATATTTACTTTATATTAGCCAAAGCAATTCATACCAGCATGAATATTAAGATACTATTGCGATTGAATTATTCCTGTGTGTCAAGGTCTTTGATAAGCTAAATCCCAAGAGGGAATTAGGTGTCAAAATGCACATATATAATTAACTTTGAAGCCAAAGTAACAAAACATGGTCTTAGTTGCAGGATTATTTTTTCTATGTTTGTCTTATTAGGCCTGTTTTGTGTCATCTTTAAGCATGATAATAAAACCACAAGTCAGATATTGTATTGCCGAACCATTGATCGATAACTTACAGACTGGGTGTCCATACTCTCGCTGTCTGTTGTGAACATGGTCAGATCTTGAGAACTCTCGTCACCAGAAGTTTTAAAGTCAGAAACAACAGACTCGCTATCAGACTTTTTAGGGGGCTGTTTGCTATCCTCCTTCTTCTTGGGTGTAGGAGGCATGGCTGGCAGAGGGATATCCTCCAGAATGTTCTTTTCTTCCTTAAACAGGGCTTTATTGATCTCTTGTTTAGGTGTGTCTTTGGGTATGACAGGTGCCTCCTCCTCCTCCTCCTCCTCCTCTGTTCCAGGGGGTGGGGGAGTTTTTGGGATGGGGGGCAAGGGTGGTAGGCTAGTTTTTGGTGGAGTGGGTGTATCAGCAACGCTAGCATTCAGTGAGACTGATGGTGAAGATACGCCTAGTGGACTCTGGACAATGGCTGGACTGACTCCAAACTGAGCAAGCACCCCAGGGATGGGTGGGTTTGTGGACGTCACTGTTGCCTCACTGCCCACAGACGAGGGGGTATCAAAGCCAGGGGGCTTGGTGTAAATGTTTGGCATGGTGAATCCACCCCAGGGATTGGGCATGTATGGAAATGCTTGAGGCGGCATTCCATAAGCCAAAGGCAAGGGCATGGCCATTGGAAAAGACATCATTCCAGGTGGGTAGGAGCCGACAGTCGATTGCTGGGGAGTCTGTTGCTGCCATGCATTGGCTGTGAAAGTTTGAGGAAAGCCTGCCATCAGAGGAGGACTTCCGAAGGGTGTAGCAGACTGAGGTGGCAGGGGGGTCGGCTGCTGATTCGTCTGCTGCTGTTGGAAATCTGGAAAGAAAAACATATACCCAGCGATTTTCACAAAATTATGTTGAAAACTTAAGTCATGAATGTGAGGACAAGCATGTTTTCCCATCATGTAAATTTTCTGTAGCAGTGACCTAGACCTTCAACTGATCCCAACATATTTTTATGTCCAGATCTATAATAATCTAAGAAGTTACAAGAAATTGGGTTAAAAAATGTAGCTATAATCTGATTCTGGACAAGCCAATTTTCCCACATCATGTCAACATTCAGCAGCTGCAACCATGACATTTAACGTATGACTTACCTTCAACCTGTCTGATTAATGCCATATAAACTTGTGTGGAGATTTAGTCAAGAACCCAGAAACAAACCAAATGTTTTCCCATCATCAAGTCAAGATTCTGTAGATGTTACCTTGAATATGTGACCTTGATCTTTAATTTTTCTCCAAAAATGTGGGGTTATTAATTTCTTGAAATTTGGTCTAAAAGTTTTGGAAGAAATCTACAAAAAGTTTGAATTATGACAAATGGAAGATCACATGGACAACAAATGTACACGATGACACCAATACACTCTGCTAAAGGCTGGCATTGAAAAATATCTTAGCCACAACATTCTGTTAGAGGAATTTAAATATCTGTTCTGTACACATTGTCTTTCCATATTGGTTACTAGGAGGTGGATCATATACGTTTGCCGTAGTTGTCGTTTCATAGTACTTACCAGGAGGTGGGACACTTAGACTCATCAGACTTTGTAGATTCTGTTTCTGCTGGTTTTTCTTCAACTCCATCCGTTCCTTCCTCTTTTCAGGATCGATGTTGAGGTGCTGACATGCCACCTCATCAATCTTTGGCTTGATCACATGGAAAATCTTTGGATTCACCACCTGTTCTATAACTCTCTCTACACCCGTCGCCAGCATACCCGACCTGTAACACAGAACAGATTTCTCATAACTTTATACTTCTGAAGGTGAGGTGGGGAAGGAGGTCAGATCATTATATATAACAATTAAATCGTGTGTGCAGCAGCAAGGCTGGTAATTAGATCCAATAGACAGTGTCACATGTTAGCAACTAGTGCCCAAATCAGATAGCAATCATGTATTTAAACAAGATGCCCATGGGCCTTAACGGTCACCTGCTGTATTTATACAGAGAGTTGATTTTGTTTTTTAACATGAACAGAAATATTATTCAAAGTGACAAAAAACAATAAAAACCACCTTATTCAATATCTAGCATACAGATTTCAGACTAAAAAGTATTTGAAACTAGCACCTCTGATTCTAAACAAGGAAAATGAAGAAATTTTAGCACACTGACTCCTTTGAGCCCCACCCTACAGCCCTTGGGGGTAGGGCTGGCTCAAAAATTTCAAAGTATCAAACTGTCAACTCAAGGTTATGATTCCAATCAAGTTATTAACATGTAATATTCAAAGTATCATTTGCCATTATAAACCATAATAAATTTTGCCCCCCACCCCCACTCCTTCCCCAGTGGGTAAACGCGAGACCCTAGGGTCATAAACCTTAAGACCCTTCCATCTATGAAGAGTATTTGATTCTACCATATCTGGGTCTTGAGAAGAAGATTTTTGAAATTTTAGTCAATTTGACCCTTTTTGACCCCGCATCTCAGGCCCCTGGGGGCTTGGGACTAAACCAGCCACTATTTTTGTTGACCTTTGTCCATGGAAAGGTCCCTGCAAAATATCATTAAAATTGGTTCAGGAGTTTTGGAGAAGAAGATTTTTGAAATTTTAGTCAATTTGACCCTTTTTGGCCCCGCCCCTCAGGCCCCTGGGTGCTTGGGACTAAACCGGAGACTATTTTTGTTGACTTTTATCCATGGAAGGTCCCTGCAAAACTTTATTGAAATTGGTTTAGGGGATTTGGAGAAGAAGATTTTTGAAATTTTATTCAATTTGACCCTTTTTGGCCCCGCCCCTGGGGGCTTGGGACTAACCCAGCCACTATTTCTGTTGACCTTTGTCCATGGAAGGTCCCTGCAAAACTTCATTGAAATTGGTTTAGGGGTTTTGGAGAAGAAGTCAAAAATGTAAAATGTTTACGGACAGATGACGGACAATGATGGACAAAAGGCGATCGCAATAGGTCACTTGAGACTTTGTCTCAGGTGACCTAAAAACTAGCATTGATCCACTTATCTGAGACAAGTAGATTTCTGCATGGATTAAAGGCGTAACTAGCCCTTTGGACTGTCTTATGTTAAAACAGCATCTTTCAACTCATGTGCTATAAAATAAGAATATTCTTTCCAAAACCTGCTTAATTAAACTACAACGATATTATATGTTACTAACTGTCAAAATTTCTTAGGACTTCACCACATTTCTCTTACAATAGAAGGATTTTGTCTTCTATGGTCAACTCATTTGTTCTATTTCAAGCTGGTGGACGTTTACTTCAGGAGAATCTCAGATTAATGCGTTTACATCGATGAAAGAATAGCGAACTATCTACACAAAAGGTTAAGTAGATTACCATGCAAAACCAGAATACATAGCTGTCAAATCTCCCTCATTAGGAGGGAGACTCCCTTATTTTAACCGAAATTTACCAATCTCCCTTGCAACTTCCTCATTCAAGTCCAAACTCACACAAACTCAAAATCTACATCCTGTGGTCAAATGATCTAGTTACTGCAGGTCGTGTGCAATAATCATAACAGGTGTGTCTGAATCAAATAAATACTTTTCTGAGTTATTTCGATACATAAAAAGGGAAAGATAAATTGAACAAAGTAGTTTCCGTTGCGTTTAATGCACTTTCTCCCTCATTGGAAATGTGGAACGAGAGAGATCTCCCTCATTGGGGGTTTCCGAGGTTGACAACTTTGAGAATAGTCACTATAATGATAGACTAATACCCGCCGGTGCAATGGACTGTAGGAAAACCGGTATTTCCTTCAAGAATATTTTTTAAACGAAGGAGCATAGCACAATAAATGGATTCCTTGAATGTAAGTGTCATGTGTACCAAGTATTGAATCGGTGCAGTACTTCAAACATAGGGACGTTATCTCTCAAATGTAATGTAATTGCTATGTGTGACAGACAGGCCTAATTTCAGTATATACTGCCCCACACCATTTGTTGCTGGGGTATAAACCTATACCTTTACATCTGTTGATTTACAGTCAAATGAAGGTGAACAAAATAAACAAAAATATCCTGTTTTTGTCCATTTTTTCCAAAATCAAAATAGTGTCAGTTTGTCAACATGTTTAATGTAAGTAACTTGTAAGCCCTAAATCGTTGCAACAACAATGTCAATCCCAAATTTGGTGTTACTAGTGTGTTAAAACCAATGTATTTACTTAAGAAATGCCTGTCTATAATTTCTGAGACAACACAGTCATTTGAAAAACAAACCATGTACATGAAGGGCAAGAAAACTTCCTGAGACTGATGACCTGGGCCAGTAGATTTCTTTGGCAGCCAAGTGAAAATTAAAGAAACCTTCAGCTAAAGTAATGCTTTAAATATTATCAGAGGAAACTCGGCTAGTTCAGGCATTGATGATGTGCAAGATAACTGAATGCGCAAGATCACTAGAACTGACTGTTGAAAATTTACCGACAATCAATTTCGTGCTCTTTTTATCAATGTCAAATCTGTTATTTATCATAGTTTTATGTTTGATGTCCCTGCGCACGGCTCCCTCAATCGAACAGGTGTGCGACATGTCAGTTTATATCAGAATTTTACCATGCCACTCCTCCTCCCAAATTTTGTACATGCTACAGGAGTTTTCTCCACCTTTCTTCGCATCGACAAGAGATTACCCCATTGTACAGTTTTCCCCCAGCTTTTCAGATTGTCCTTGTCTGGACTGGTTAGATAATTACTGGTTTATCTGCCGTCGTAAGCTGTCCCTGAGATGGTTCTTGTTCATGTTTGGACTCCATACCTGTCGTGTCAGGAAACGTGACACATAACCCTCTACTCTCTGTCGCAGATTCTGGAAGGCAGGCTAAGAAAGAGAACAAAAATACATTCCTGAATTTCTTGAAACATGGAGAACAAATTTTATTAAAAATATTTTTTTTGCCTTTGAGAATATAATTACCCATGTTCTCAAAATTCATGTACTTTTTGAAAACACTGCCTTCAAGACAAAACATCTGATTCATCTACCAAATGGTGAGTACCTTTGTGTCGACATCGGCCAGGCATTCCTTCCGAAACTGGTCAAAGAGCCCTTGTGATTTGAGCTTGTCGAGGATGTCGTGTACAACTTTTGGATCAGCTTCAGTTTCATTTCCGACCTTTTTCGTTGTCATGATGAAAAGTAGGTTCGAACCTGTATGGTCCGCTTCCGTAAATGAACAGTTATTACAAGTAAAGTATAAAATATCGTATTGAATTCCCTCCCGCTGAAGCGGTGGACGCCATTTTGGTTCCGTTTACAATTTAGGCGCGTTCGATTCACTACCACATTTTCATCCACAACATTTCGTTTATTGCCCTTGTCACGAATTAAATCTCAGTTGTAAGCCTTGATCCGATTTGGGTCCTGACATTCGAAAAAACAGGAGACGCTGATTGGTGACTTCAGAGCGTTCTATAAATATCTCAAGTGAGCCCCGGGTGCTAATTTCGTTTGTAAGAAACAACCATAAATGGATATAATTCCTCCTAAGATTTTTCAATGATTTAATAAAATGATGGTTTGGTGATCCGATTTGGGTACTGTCACCTTACCTTTTTAATCACGCTAGAATTTGATGTCTTATGGAGTTTCAATAACACATGAGCCCATATTGCTATTATAAAAAAACATTTAAATTTTCTTAAAAGATGATGAAATTTTGATTAACTTGAAAAATAATCCAGGTGGCACAAGAGCGCGTTCCTATCTCCCCCTCCCCCTCCCCCCCCCCCCCCCCTT